GCTCACAACAACGAGCGAAGCGCTGGGTGGCTAAAGCACAGCAAGTTGGCATAGTAGGGGGCACAGGTGGGGCATCAGCCAGTCATCTCAGTCAGTCGACCCGTGGCACCTGGGTCTACCCTCTTAGCGCAGTGGTGCGCTAATTGCTGCGCCACCACTCTCCTGCACGTGTAACCATGAAGATCCGCGAGTGCGTAGGGTCCACATACAGCCACTGCTTGCGCAGTGTGATCCTCCAGAGGGGATAAGACATCCTCAGCGTGAGTGCCGCCACACATTTGAAACCACTGTGGTGTTTGACAGCGGCACGATGATGGGGGTTGTTTCCACTTTAAGTGTATTGTTGGGGGGGGGGGGGGGGGGTGCGCAACTACAGACCACCACGTGCCGCCCAGTGGGCTCGCGGGCCTTGCAATGAAGTCCACGGTCCTCTACAGCAGGGGCCCCCAACCCCCGGGCCGCGGACCGGGACCAGTCCCGTGGCCTGTTAGGAACCAGGCCGCACAGCAGCAGGAGGTGAGAGCGGTGAGTCCGCGCGTGGCCCGCCCCCATTCTTTTATTATTTACCACTTCCGTCCGCGCCTCTTTCCCGCACTGGGCAATTGTCTCAGCAGTCACAGTGTTGGTAAGCCCACAAGCCAAGGCCGTAATTATAATATATATTGGGGGGGACACATATTCAAAGATGCTCAAAATGCCCCCCCCCCAATATATTGCTATAAACAATACTGTTAAAACATAATAATTGCTATGCTATGTAAATGAAAACAACAATTTGCTAAACCTTGGTCACAATATCTGGACTTGTCTTCATATAACAATGCATAGATTTCTGTTCATATGATTGTGGTTATGGTTGTTCTTTATTAATCCCGAATCTCTGCCATTACATACAATGAAACAAGAAAAGGTAAAAATGAGAAAGCAGAGCAATGTAATACAATACACTATTAGAGATTATTGTAAAAAAATAATTAAAAGTCCATCCCATGTGTTGGTGAATTTTTTAATATTTTAGGCAGGAAATTCGTTTTAAAATGTAATTTTTTTTTCTGGGGATGGGGGACCCCTAGACCCCCTGGAAGATTTGGTCCGTCCCCCCAATGTTGACTTCATGGTTACAGCCTTGCCACAAGCTATCCCCTTGCCAAAATGAGTAAAAAACAAACGTCTCTGCAGAGCTTCTTTGAAAAGAGGGGAAAGACCCAATGATGACCCCCCCCCCCCGCTCCGTGAAAAAAATTGTCTTCCACGAAACCGGTCCCTGGTGCCAAAAAGGTTGGGGACCGCTGCTCTTGAGTTTGACGGTGGAAACTCCGCGCGGGGTTTGTCTGCGCGCCGACGCGGCACGGGCGCTAGAGGGCAGCGGTAGATCGTGCGCGCGCGTGGCGGTCGGGCCCAGGGTCCAACACAGAGGTCGCAATCGGGTACCCGATACCCGTACCCTACCCGATACCCGGCTACCCTGGTGCGGTCGGGTACGGGTAGGCCGTGAGTCACTGGTGAGTAACCGTTTGTCACTCATTTCCCAACGTCTTGTCTCTTCTCACAATTCAAGTTCCTAGAATCAACCCATCCGCGCCTGCAACATGGCTTCATCCCAGAGGTCGCAATCGGGTACCCGATACCCGTACCCTACCCGTACCCGACCGGGTACGGGTAGCCGGGTATCGGGTAGGGTACGGGTATCCCGATTGCGACCCTGGTGCGGCCGAGTACGGGTAAGGAATCAAAACCCGTTTGCGACCTCTGGTCCAACAACAACAACAACGCTGCCTGCGGTCGGTCATCGACACGGAACGCGCATCGCTGAAATCGTCGTCGTGATGGCCGTCGTGGTCGTCGTCGTCAACGTCGCGAACGGACGGTACCCTGAACCTCGGAAGTTCACAGTTTCCCGAACTCCACTCCACGCTATTGGTTGTTGCTGTTGTTGTTTTAGAATCATCAAGCGCAAGAACGGATTATTCCTGATCCTTGCGAATCTTGAAAGCTAAGCGGGGTTTAGCCTTGCTTGGCACTTGCATGGGAGACCACCTGGGAATTGCAGGCAGATGTTTGTAGTACGCCTGGGCTGCGTGGTGAGCAAACAGTGGTATTCTTGAATCTATCTGTACGGCGCTTCTGAGTTTTATCTGGGTTCTCCGGGTTTCGTCATGAAGTGAAGCCACAACTCCGATTGGTGGAATTCATGGTCCAACGTCCCAATGTAGCAGGAAGCTCGTGAGGACATTTATTTATACTCAGACTTTCCCGTCTAAGTAAATTGTATCATTGTTATTATCGTTAACCAGAGACGCGTGTGGTGTAAAACGAACAGCAACTGTGGTTAAATCTTAATTTGAAGCTTTCGTGACTGCAGGAATCCATACTCTTTGGTTATTTCGGTAAAGTCACTTAGTTATAAAACAAAATAAATCACGACGTTTCGGGCGCTGGTGTTGCGCCCGAAATGTCGTAATTTATTTTGTTTTATACCTACGCGACTTTACCGAAAGAACCAAAGAGTAACTGTGGTCATCATGCATTTATTTCATTTCTTGGGCTTGACGTTAATCAAATGACTGCTGTGACCAAATCCCAAGGATTGCATCAGTTCTGCTAAGCTAAGCAGGGGGTTCAGCCTGGATAGTGCTTTGGTTGGGCGACCAACATTCAATGTGACATAAGCAGGCTGACGACAGTGCACACGCACTCCGACTACTGCCACACTTCCTGCAGCGTCTAATCAAGACGAGCAACACCACTGCTGGGCCGGTTTAGACACTCGGTTCAGACACTCGGTTCAGACACTCGGTTTAGACACTCGGTTTAGACACTCGGTTCAGACACTCGGTTCAGACACTCGGTTTAGACACTCGGTTTAGACACTCGGTTCAGACACTCGGTTCAGACACTCGGTTCAGACACTCGGTTCAGACACTCGGTTTAGACACTCGGTTTAGACACTCGGTTCAGACACTCGGTTCAGACACTCGGTTCAGACACTCGGTTTAGACACTCGGTTCAGACACTCGGTTTAGACACTCGGTTTAGACACTCGGTTCAGACACTCGGTTCAGACACTCGGTTCAGACACTCGGTTAAGACACTCGGTTTAGACACTCGGTTCAGACACTCGGTTTAGACACTCGGTTCAGACACTCGGTTTAGACACTCGGTTTAGACACTCGGCCCTCTCATCAGCAGGCACACGTTGGCTGCGCGGCGGTTACGTTGTGGATTTCAGGTAAAGGTCCCCCGTGTAGCCCGAAGTGAACTTGGGGCAAGTGCCTGTGAGCGAGCGGCGTCTATGAAGGCCGGCATCAGACGGCGGTGCCGCGACATGAAATGCATTGCGATACTGTAGCTACCCAGCAGTGGTTAGATTGTGACCGATGGGCCAGTACATATTACAGTTCGCGCAAAATGATTTTTTATTTGAGAAAAAAAAAATACGCAACAACTCGCGGGACAGGCAGCCTCGCGATTTGCATAATTAGCGCGGGCGATCATTAATTACCGAGTCTGTCCACACCCCAAGCGCTTCCTGCCCCCCCCCCCACAGCCCCCCCAGCCCTCCAGCTCCCCCACCCCCCCCAGCCCCCCACTGCTCCTCCACTCTCCCCAGCCCCTCCCCTGCTCCACCAATCCCCCCCTGCTCCCCCAGCCCCCCTGCTCCCCCAGCTCCCCCACCCCCCCACTGCTCCCCCACTCCCCACAGCTCCCCCACCCTCCCCTGCTCCCCCAGCCCCCCACTGCTCCCCCACTCCCCCCAGCCCCCCCTCTGCTCCCCCACCCCCCCAGCTCCCCCACCCCCCCAGCTCCCCCACCCCCCCACTGCTTTCCCACTCCCCCCAGCCCCCCCTCTTCTGCTCCCCCAATCCCCCCTGCTCCCCCAGCCCCCCACTGCTCCCCCACTCCCCCAGCCCCCACCCGCTCCACCACCACCGCCGCCCCCCAGGGCCACGCAGCTGTTGTGCCGAGGAGGCTGCGAGTAGTGCGGTGGTGGTGGTGGTGAGTGCACGGAGCCTTGGTGGTGGTGGCGATGGTAGGGACGAGGTTAGGAGGAGGTGACGACGACAAATGGAGGTGGGACGAGGTGGGGCGAGATAGAGGGGCAGTAGGTGGCGTGAGGAGGTCACGAGGGGAGGCGGAGAGACGTGTGAGCCGATGAGCACGAAGAGGTGAGGGCGAGAGACAACGAGGAAGAGGGTCTTTATGTGATGATGAGATTGAGTTCATAGGTAAATGCAACGGAGGATGATGGAAGATGAGTGACGGAGTCTGCAGGAAACACGCACACAGTGCCCTACCCCTGGGCTACAGCTCCTCCACACAGCTCCACTACAGCATACCCCCCCACCTCCTTTGGGGGCCTTCGCTCGGTTGCCACCCCCGGGGCGAGAGGAGCGCACGGGGTGGTTGGCGGATGTTGGGGGGTGCGAGGGGGGGGGGGGCGTGAGGAGGGGGGAGGGGGTGCGAGGAGGGAGGGTGGGGGGGCGAGGAGGGAGGGGGGGAGAGGAGGGGGAGGCGAGGAGGGAGGGGGGCGAGGAGGGGGGGGCGAGGAGGGAGGGGGGCGAGGAGGGGGGGGGGCAAGGAGGGAGGGTGGGGGGGCGAGGAGGGAGGGGGGGAGAGGAGGGGGAGGCGAGGAGGGAGGGGGGGAGAGGAGGGGGAGGCGAGGAGGGAGGGGGGAGAGGAGGGGGAGGCGAGGAGGGAGGGGGGCGAGGAGGGGGGGGGGGGGGGCGAGGAGGGGGGGGGGGCAAGGAGGGGGGGGCAAGGGGGGGGGTGAGGAGGAAGGGGGGTGCGAGGAGGATGGAGGGGGGGGCGAGGAGGGAGGGTGGGGTGGGCGAGGAGGGTGGAGGGGGGGGCGAGGAGGGAGGGTGGGGTGGGCGAGGAGGGTGGAGGGGGGGGCGAGGAGAGCGGGAGGGATGGGTGGGGGGGGCGAGGAGGAAGGGAGGGTGGAGGGGGGGGCGAGGAGGGATGGATGGTGGGTGTGTTGGGCTGTGTGCGAGTCGTACCCAGGGTCTGGCCGGCGAGCACGCGGCCGTTGACGGCGGAGACGGCGAGGCGTGCGCTGCGCGCGTCCCCGTACTGCACGAACGCGTAGCCTCGGTGCAGCGACACCCCCAGCACGGGCCCGTACTCGGCGAACAGCGCCTCCACCTCCGAGCGCGACACCTGCTGCCGACGAACCGCCGGTGAACGTTGGATAAGCGACGTTCGGGACCGGACGTTCGACTCCATCATCATCACGCGTTGTTTTGCGTTCCGGGGGGGGGTCAGTGCTTTGGCCGCAGAGTTAGCCGCGGGTTTGATTTGGGGTTACGCCGCTGTGAGTTTGTTATTTGACGTTGGGGAGATTTGTGGTTTTGTGGCTAAAAAGTTTCGATTGGTCACGTGGCCGCGCTTGCGTCTGTGACGCTTTATGTTTGCCGCGTTCACGGTGGTGCTTTTATTGTTTCGGTTTAGATTTTCTCGTAATGTTGGTGACACATGGTATCTTAAGTTATATTCTTGGGTTTTTTCGGTAAAGTCACGTAGGTAAAAAAATTAATAAAAGTAAAATAAAAATAAAATAAAAATCACGACGTTTCGGAGGCAACACAAGCCTCCGTCTTCAGGTGGAACCGTCACAGCCACGATAGCTGTATCACCAAGTGAACTAAAAATAAAGTTATTCTTGAAAATAAAGCAGCGTGTTTATTAGTCGTCACGACTAAACCTACAATTTAGTCACGGTATTTTTTCCCCCTAGAAATTTTTGTTACATTTAAAAATAAATGAAGTGTATCGTATCTGCAAGTGTGTGTGTGTGTGGCCTCAAGGTGTACCTAGCCTGGCACAAACGCCGTGGTGACTTCATCTCCACACCGTGACTAATGGCGGATGTTATTATTGTTGTTGTTGTGTGGCGTCGTGTGTGTGGTTCCATGTCTGGAGAGCCCGACTTGTATAAAATAAACATTCCATGTAAAGTATTGTCTCTGCTTAATATCAATATACATTATAATAATAGACACCAGCCCACACCAAACCCAAATTTGGATCTGGCACTGTCTGCAAACTGAGATGGTTTATTTATCGTTTTGATTATTTTGTTGTTGTTGCCATCATCATCATCGCACTCACAACCACCTTTATAATCATAACCACCATCATCATCATCATCACCACCACCACCATTATAATCACCACCACCATCATAACCACCACCATTTTCATCATCATCATCATCATCGCCACCATCATCATCATTTTCATCGCCATAACCAACACCGCCGTCATCATAGACTTCATCATCATCACCATCTCTCATGTGCATCCAAACGTGTCCGAGGACAGTAACCGTTCATTTTGCCTGCTGATGGAAGATTGTGCCTCGCGTAAGTTGAAAACCGTACGCGTCGTGGCAACATCCTTCAAACCATTCCCGGAATTACCAAGGGGCTTCCACCTCGTGCAGCGATCGTCACCAGAGGTCGCAATCGGGTACCCGATACCCGTACCCTACCCGATACCCGGCTACCCGTACCCGGCCGGGTACGGATAAGGGTACCCGTTTTCGACCCTGATCGTCACCAGACGTCCGCTGCACGAGTCAATACCTCTTTACACAAGCGTTACGTGTCGCTTATTTAAATGTTGCTCCGAATGTATCCCAACAATTGTGCTATCGACATCATCTCAGAATGTTCATTCATACCGGGGGAATCCGATAAGTCGTAAAGCTCTTTTTTGTTTTTATTAACGGACGTCTTGCAGAGCAGTGCAGTGCACTTATTATTCACGCTGGGGAATGGCCCCACGCGGAATCGGTAGTCAACATTCTGGGGTCCGTTCTTCAAGAAGCTTCCAGGCCATCAAGAATAAAAGTGGCAGCACTTCCCCTTCTACTCCTCCCCTCCCCATCTGCTCTGCATATGGGAATAAGTGTCATTACATGACAGTCGAAAGCTAAAACATGTTTAAATTGTCGGAGCTGGAATTTAGCCAAATTAAGTTTGAAAGTCTAGAGAGTTTATGTTGGCCCAGCCAGCAATGTCTGGACAAAAACACTCTCTATAAATACAATAGAAATAAATAAATTGTGTTATATACATTTTTATGAAGACACTTTTTTCCATGCCTTTTTTGGTAAAGGGGGGGGGAGGTTCTACTCGCAACATTTTCGAACTAAATTTGGCTCAATTCCAGCAGCTCCGAAAATTAAATTACAAAAACCCATCACGGATTGGAAGCTGAACGCCCTGGATTCGAACCCAGGATCTCAGCCCGACCGGCTCGGCTCTCTGACCTCCGAGCCCCCGGGGTCACCAAACCGACCCCGCGTGGTAGTAGGTTTGTACCCTTTTAAACTGGTACAAAACTGACACCTTTATTCAAGGCATCATGATTGCAATAACCACAACACAAGTAGTCAAAAAAGCAAACAAAAAGAAGCAACTCTGATGATGATAATAATATGCACTGTCCTTGAAGTTGATTGGTCCACACCCGAGACGGCTTTCTTTAGAGCCTAGTCCCCATTGGTGTTGGACAAAGCAGCAGCACAACCACCACGGCGCTTCTGTGGCCGTCTGGAACGCTCTTCCTTCCGATATTAGGACGCTACTGGGAGCAATGCACTTTTAAATCTAAATTTTAAAATTCGCTTCACAACCGATTTTCGTGTTCACTTTGTTGGCCTTCCCCCGCACCTCCGATCAGCACGGCTGGCTACGTACGGTGCGAAAGAAGTCCAACACACCACGCGACATCTCTCAAGCGGAGGAGTTCTCGCTGCGGCTCCGCGTTCCCTGGATTTGAAACCCGGGCGTCAGCGCCTCGGCGGTCCCGGCCCCCTACCCTGCCCTACCCTGCCCGTCGCCTCGTCGCTGTAGGATACGCACCTCGGCCGTGTTGAGGTTCCCGATGAAGACGCGGGAGTTGACGGAGCGAGGGTCGCTGCGATTGGTCACGCTGCCCGCGTGAGCCTTGCTGGCGGCCGTCGCCATCGCTGCCCTCCCACCCGGTAGCCCTGACGCCCCGCTCGCTTGCCCACCAGGGTGCTGCCCTCCCGCCTGTACGACGCGGCCACCCCTCGCACTCTCCGCGCCGTGCTCTCTCTCCGCCCCCCCCCCACCACGTGGTGGGGGTGAACTCCGTCAGCAGCTACCCCACTGCTGGGGGATCACGAGAGGGGTGTGATGGAGAGATGTGACAGTGAGGATGTGATGGTGGTGCGAGTGTAATGGAGAGATGTGGTTAGAGGGATGTGATGGTGGTGGGAGTGTGATGGAGAGATGTGGTTAGAGAGATGTGATGGTGGTGGGAGTGTGATGGAGAGATGTGGTTAGAGGGATGTGATGGTGGTGGGAGTGTGATGGAGAGATGTGACAGTGGGGATGTGATGGTAGGTGGGAGTGTGATGGAGAGATGTGGTTAGAGGGATGTGATGGTGGGAGTGTGATGGAGAGATGTGGTTAGAGGGATGTGATGGTGGGAGTGTGATGGAGAGATGTGGTTAGAGGGATGTGATGGTGGGAGTTTGATGGAGAGATGTGGTTAGAGGGATGTGATGGTGGTGGGAGTGTGATGGAGAGATGTCGCTAGAGGGATGTGATGGTGGGAGTGTGATGGAGGGAGATAGGGAAGACAGAGTGGAGGGGAGACAGTGGGGGGAGCGAGGATAGGGGAGATGAGTGTTTGAGTGGAGGGGAGGCAGACAAGAACGAAACTCAGTCACAAAAACATCAGCGAAACACAATCAGCTAACGGAGAATATCCACAGTCAAGTTAAACAATTACATTCTTTGCAAGTGACCAATATTTGTTGGAATTAATTGGCCAACAACTCGTTTTTTTTTTTACAAAAAACTCAGCACCTGCAACAGTATTAAGTTGATTTCATGTTTTTACACGGATGGTGATGATGATGGTGGTGGCCCCGTTGAGCCGGTTGCCCGGCTATCTTACAAGGGAGATCCGTGGCCTCGCTGTGTCAGCACAGCAACAACAACAACAAAGACAAACACAGCGGCCGGAAAAAATAAACAAATATATAGCAGACAACGTTTCGGGCTCTGGCCATTACTTCGCAGCAGAGAGAGAGAGAGACGAGCGTTCGTGATAGAATCCGAATTTTTTTTTTTTACAATCCGATTCGCTATTTTTTAAATCCTTTATATTAAGTTCGCTTGCTTGCTTGCTTGCGTGCTTGCGTGCTTGCTTGCTTGCTTGCTTACGACCGTGCAAATCTTTCGGTCGTTTTTTAACCCACTTCCCGTGATCCAATCGAGCTGACATTTTGCACACAGACTCGTTGTGCGAGACAATTAATGTTCGTGAAATTTTTTTCCAAAATTTTACACTGTTTAGGGAAAACAAATTAAATATTTAATTACCAATTGCTTAATACTGGCAGACAATCATCTGACCCATAGGTGGCAGCCATCTCAAGCCAGAGGACGAGAGGACTCTAGCCGCCACGCATATAAAGGATTTATAGTGAAAAACTGGGTTTTTACGGGTTATACTTATTCGTATTTTGCCAGGTTAGGCCCACCGAGCTGCATAGATCTCTTTTCACAAAGCGAGCTGGCCACGATTGAGCGTCCAACGAAGTGGCTTATCGCGTAGACATGTATTGTAGCCAAACACTCTAAACGCGTGGTGATGTCGCCTCGAGATGTGGAGGGAGCAACCGGAGGACCCGGAGAATAATCCACGCGACCACGTAAAGAGAGAGACACGCAAACTACAAATATACAGCAGCAGGCGTCAGTGGTCGGGATCGAACCCACGACCTCCTATATACCAGGCGAGGTAGTTTACATCTCCTAGCCACTACGATGATGATGATGAGAGAGAGAGACACCGAACACTACAAATATACAGCAGGCGTCAGAGTCGGGACCGAACCCACGACCTCCTGCATCCCGTGCGAGGGAGTTCACATAAACGTGACTAAATATGACGAAACGACACTCCGTAATATTTTTCATTATTCGAGCTTTGAGTCAAAATAATTTCTGACAGTATATGTTCAAAAGCTAACACTACCCCCCACGCCGCTGCCCTTGCCCCCACCGCATAACCATATCTCACGCTGTCCTCAAAATAACCTCCCGGTGTCATTCTTCTAACGCCGACCAACGCCTGCTCAACGATGTTAGGTCCCTTTAAAGCTTTCGTGACTGCAGGGATTCATCTTCTTGGTTCTTTCGGTAAAGTCACGTAGAAGGGAAATAATAAAATAATAAAAATAAAACATAATAAAATTATTAAATTTCGATTTAAAGCTTTCGTGACTGCAGGGATTCATCTTCTTGGTTCGTTCGGTAAAGTCACGTAGAAGGGAAATAATAAAATAATAAGAAATAAGAAATGATAAAATAATTAACTTTCGATTTAAAGCTTTCGTGACTGCAGGGATTCATCTTCTTGGTTCTTTCGGTAAAGTCACGTAGAAGGGAAGTAATAAAATTATAAAAATAAAACATTTCTTCATCTGAGGACGGCTGCTTGCGTTGTGGCCGAAACGTCGTGAGAATTATTTTATTATGTTTTATTTTATTATTTTATTATTTCCCTTCTACGTGACTTTACCGAAAGAACCAAGAAGATGTTAGGTCCATCACGCACCTCCTCCTACACCACCACCATCACCGCCGCCAAAGACAAAGACTCCCCGTATATCCTTTAACAGACTGTTAGGGCAAGTGCTGTTTTGCGAGCACCTATGCAGGTACTTGGGGGCCGTCCATAAATGACGTCACGCGATTTTGGACGATTTTTACCCCCCCCCCCCCTTCGTCACACGACGTCATAAAAAGTCAGACCCTCCCCCTCAAATATGACGTCACAAAACTCTGCCCCCCCCCCCCCAAAAATATATAAAACATGCTTCAAATCGTTTAAAACTATTGTCATTGTAGTGCGTATTTAATGTGCCGCTGCACTCTGATGTTGTAAGAGTAAACATTACAAAGTCTATTTAATTAAGTAGAACGTGTTGTTTTTATTTATTTAAAGTTGCGCATTTTGATGTGACGTCACATTTCTCACTCCCCCCCCCCTCGTCACACATCGTCACAAATGTCTGACCCCCCACCCCCCTAGGTGCGTGACGTCATTTATGGACGCCCCCTTGGCTCAAAAGTCTATTAAGGATATGCGGAGGATCTTTGTCTTGTGTGTGTTGGCACCGCGGGCGTGGTGCTGTTGACCACCCATCCGCTCATGTGCCGTGCCGGCCTTGATGGGTTCTACTCGCTAACAGCATGTGTCCCATAAAGTATGTTAAAGCTATACGGGGGACTTTCTGGAGGCAAGTGCAGTGAGCGAGTACTACATATGAAGGCCGCCACGGCACACGAGGGGGTGGGTTGTCAACATCACGCTCGGCCGTCTTTGTCTTCCCAGTGGCGATGTTTACACTCCACACTGGGGACTCATTTGAGGCTGAGTCGACCGATAGGAGGCCCTGGACCGGTTCAAATAATCAAATAATCGTCCCCGGTAATGTTGGGCGTGATCGGGAGTCGAACTTGAGTGGCCGGGTTCTCAGCACTGCGCGATAATTAAAACTACGAACTAAACTTTTTTTATTTTACCAGGTAAGGCCCACTGGCCTATATATATCTTTTTTTTATGCGACATGGCCACAAATGATAGCTAAACAAAGTGGCTTACCACGTGGAAGTGCATAGCAACCAAATACTATAAACGCACGTTGATTCTAAATGTGGAGGGGAAAGTCAGAGGACCCCCAGAAAAATCGCAAACTCCAAATAAACAGGCGTCAGGGGTCGGGCTCGAACCCACGACCTCTTGCGTACCAGGCGAGGTAGTTAACATCTTGTCACCGTGGCGGTCCCCACCACCTCCACCACCCCCACCACCCCCACAACCCCCACCCCCGTCACTACCCCCACCCCCCACAACCCCCACCCCCCACAACCCCCACCACCCCCACCACCCCTGCCAGCCCCGTCGCTACCCCGACCCCCCCACAACCCCCACCCCCAACAACCCCCACCCCTACCACCCCCACAACCCCCACCATCCCCACAACCCCCACCCCCACCACCCCCACCCCCGTCACTACCCCGACCCCCCCCACAACCCCCACCACCACCACCCCCACAACCCCCACCCCTACCACCCCCACAACCCCCACCACCCCTGCCACCCCCGTCACTACCCCGACCCCCCCCACAACCCCCACCACCACCACCCCCACAACCCCCACCCCCACCACCCCCACCACCCCACCACCCCTGCCACCCCCGTCACTACCCCGACCCCCCCCACAACCCCCACCCCCACCACCCCCACAACCCCCACCCCTACCACCCCCACAACCCCCACCACCCCCACTGCCACCATCACCCCCACAACCCCCACCCCCATCACCCCCACAACTCCCACCCCTACCACCCCCACAACCCCCACCCCCACCACCCCTATCACCCCCACAACCCCCACCCCTACCACCCCACAACCCCCACCCCCACAACCCCCACCCCACCACCCCACCCCACAACCCCACCCCCACAACCCCACCCCTATCACCCCACAACCCCCACCACCCCTGCCACCCCCGTCACTACCCCGACCCCCCCCACAACCCCCACCACCACCACCCCCACAACCCCCACCCCCACCACCCTGCCACCCCCGTCACTACCCCGACCCCCCCCACAACCCCCACCCCCACCACCCCCACAACCCCCACCCCTACCACCCCCACAACCCCCACCACCCCCCACTGCCACCATCACCCCCACAACCCCCACCCCCATCACCCCCACAACTCCCACCCCTACCACCCCCACAACCCCAACCCCCACAACCCCAACCCCCACAACCCCCACCCCCACAACCCCCACCCCCACCACCCCCACAACCCCCACCCCCACAACCCCCACCCCCACCACCCCCACCCCCACAACCCCCACCCCCCACAACCCCCACCCCCACCACCCCTACCGCCCCCACTGCCCCCACCCCACCACCCCCACCACCCCCACAACCCCCACCACCCCCACAACCCCCACCCCTACCACCCCCACAACCCCCACCCCTACCACCCCCACAACCCCCACCCCCATCACCCCCACCACCCCCACAACCCCCACCCCCACTGCCACCATCACCATCACGCGCCAGCGCCGGGCCG